AACATTTTAAGACTGAGCTTTCTTTTGACATGGGGGTTACTGGCTAGAAATAGGCTAAAAGGGGGGGCCAGCATCAGATGGGGTCCTAGGAGGGAGGCCACGCTGAGAGCTGAGGCAGTGGAAAACACCCTCTTTTCCATAGCACAGGGATATATTGGAAGAAAGTCCTTCCAGAATGGGCCAGGAGTCAGATATTGACCTCTGAAAGGCTATTTGAATTTGATGGGTTTTCTGGCCCTGGCTTCCTCCTCACTACCATGGCTGAGTTCTCTGATATCTGATGCCCCCTAGATTTATTCCTGAGCAGCAATAAAGGTAGAAAAATGTGGCCAGACACTGACAGCTCTTTGCTGGTGTCTGGGGCTGCTTGTCTTCTTCCTGTAGTGGACCTGTCCCTGAAGACAGTGAGGCCCCCGCTCTGACTCCAGAGAAGGTCCCTTATCCAGTCTCACCTCCGTTGTCTCAAAGTTGCAGATCATCATGAGTCCTCTGGGCTCAAGGGGACTTATAGCAACTGGGATCCCAAACCAAGCCTCCTCCAAGAAGGCTGGTGGCCTGGGTATTCATGGCAATGGCAGTGTGTGTGTGTGTGTGTGTGTGTGTGTGTGTGTGTGTGTGTGTGTGATCTGCTTAGCAGTCTTGAGGTCTGCTGACTTGACTGACTACTGGTCTGGATGTTGCCAGAAGGGATCAATATTCAGAGTCAGTGAACTCAGCAAAGCCAATGAGCTTCCAGAGTGCAGGCAGCCAAAGTCCTTACCGATTCAGATGGAGGGTCCCAAAGCAGACGAATTTCCTTAAACTATGGCCCAGGAAACAACAGCCTGGCCTCCCAGCCCACAGGGTTTAGACTGGAGATGGTGGTGTCAGCTCTGTCCTAACTTACCTTCTGCCTGCTGCTTTATAGAGTTCAAACTTACCTGCCTCCACTATTGTACAGGTGAAGTCCTTTAAAGTCTCTCTTTACAGCCTACACTTTCCCTTTTAGTTTGGTATTTCTGATACAAGGTCAGAGTGTGTAGACAAGGTTGACTTTGAACTCATAATTATCCCACCTGCAAAATGCCGCCAAGTGGGAACCTGGTCATAGTAGCTGAACCGATGAGTGAGCTGCCTGGAAGATGCTTGGGCAATGCAGTAATCCAAGCTCCAGTAAGACCCACCCCAAGGGCCACCTACTTTGCCCTCTGCTTCTCTACTGCCATCAGGCCCACCAGGGAGAGTAAGTCATATCGTCTGTCACTTTAGATGTCTGGGGACAATACTGGGCAGAGGAGGCTGACAGCTCCCACATATGCATGCAGGACAGATCTTAGTGAAAGACACACATTCAAGGTAGGGTTTGCTTTCCTCTCTGTGATAATTTCTTCCCCCAGTGGACCCACAATGTCACCAACAAACAGCTCATGATCTGGGGTACAGGGAGCTACACACACATGTATGTGATGTCTGTTCCCTATGTCACCAGGGTCCTAGTGAGGGAGTGCAGGGTGAGATATAAATTCCAGTGACAGGACTCTTGGTTTGTGTCTCAGTGAATGCCTGGATCTTGGGGTGGTGTCCAGCCTGTGCCAGCCTCCCTCAGACAGGTACCAGGACCCTCCTCAACTGAGTGTCTAGGACATTCTATGATATAAACACACATTAAACACATAGGGTATCATATGCTCATCCATAGGAAGTGGGTGGTGTCTCCATTTTGCAAATGGGAAAATGAAGGCTCATGTGAGTAGATGACTTACCCAAGGCTGTGCAGGTAGAGAGGAGCACTGTTGGAGTTAGACCCTCAAGATTGAGACCCTCTAGTCCCTATTTCTGCTCTCTGTGTGCCGCTTGGAGTAGCAGTGTCCCAAGCTCCCTAGGAGAACTGCAAGGTGGAAGCTGTTATTATACTGTTATTACACTGGACACTCAGAGAATGTAAGTGATCTTGTTCAAGGTGGTACACCTGGGCAGGGATTCTGAGTTCCTGGCACTGTGAGTAGTAGCTGGGGAAGGGTGGTGGCCATATCTGCTAAGCAACAATTCTCAACCTGTGGGTCATGACCCCTTTGACAAACCTCTGTCTCCAAAAGCATTTATATTACAATTCATAACTGTAGCAAAACTATAGTTATGAAGTAGCAGTGAAAATAATTTATGATTGGGGTCACCCCAATATGAGGAACTGTATTAAATGGTTGAAGCATTAGGAAGGTTTAGAACCGATGCTAAGAAATACCACTTAGCTGTTCATCAGTAGGATTTGCTGGTGGGTCAGTGACTGGAACCTGACCCTGGAGAGCTAAGGTGCATGTCAAGCAAAGTGTGTGTGTGTGTGTGTGAGAGAGAGAGAGAGAGAGAGAGAGAGAGAGAGAGAGAGAGAGAGAGAAGGAGGAGGAGGAGGAGGAGGAGGATGACACGACTGCGAGGGGTTGGGATTATCTTCTCTGACTAGGCATGGGGAGCCCTCCAACAGACAGCAGCCCTCCTGCCCACCCCCCTCCGCCTCTGGTGTGTTGTCACAGCAACTACTTGGGCATGTCCAAGGCATCTCCTTTAATAATCTGGGCCTGTGATCTCTGGCAGGACTGTAATGAAGGGGCAGTTTGTTAGTGCTGACATAAACATGGAGGAACACAGCCGCCTTTCTCAAGTCATTTAAGAAGTCCACTCAGGCCAGCCAACAGTAGGGTAACTGAAAATATTTATTTGTTCAGCTTCCTGTGGTGAAAGCCAGCGTTTACGAGGTCAACTCTTTGTAGTTGTTAAGGGTTTTTTTTTTTTTTTTTTTTTTTTTTTTTTTTTTTTTTTTTGGTAAGGAAAGAATAATATCTCAGGACCTGATCATGCCCGAACCCCTACCCCATTTGCTCAATTTGCTCAATCCAAGACTAAAGCTAGTGGGTCCAGTGTCTGGTAAGCAAGAAAACTCTGCTAGGGCTGGCCTGGACTTGGTTATAGTGACACATATGAGGTTCACTAATAAAGTACTCATATTCCCATAAGCAATGTGGCATAGGGACATACTCAGGGTCACACAATTAGTAAGCAGCAGAATCTGAGTTGGTATCCAACTGGAACTTTCCATGAGATGAAGTGTTCTCTCTGCCAAGGTGGACCTGCTCCTGTTGTCTCGGGAACCCCACAGTTAGGAGTTGAAGGAGGGGAGTGTGCATTTTAGATCATTCTTGTCCTCAAAAAATTAACCTGGGGCTGAAAAGGGGGCTCAGCATTTAAGAGTGCCTGCTGCTCTTCCAGAGGACCTGAGCTGGGTTCCCAGCACCCAGGGGACCTAATGCCTTTGGCCTCGGAGGGCACCTGTATTCATGTGTACATGTACTCTTATACAGACACAGGCATATGCACATACACACACACACACACACACACACACCCCACACTCTCACACATACAAACACCCACACACAGTAAACAAAATATTTTAAAATTAAAATAATCAAAGTGGATAGCACCTAAGAAATTGCATCTTAGTTGTGTTCTTCACACCCCACACATGCACATGAACACACACAGAATTAGCTCAATGTTGGTATGGGGTGGATTATAAGAAAATCAGCCATAAAGCCAAAGCATAGAGAACTGCTGTTGGTTTTGTTTCTTCTTCTATGGGTTCTGAGGCAGATGAAAGATTCCAAATTCTAGGAGCTCAAAACAGTCAGTTTTTCATCAGAGCCTCCCTCCCAGCCCAAAACCTGGGGTTCTTTTGGCCCCTAGACCTAAACTTCAAGTGTTAGGCCCCCTTTTACTTGGGTTGCAAGATTCTAGCTGTAGCTCAGGGACCCAGCCACTCTCTAACATTGGTTGAGTTACCTAATCGCCCAGAACCTCTGTTTTCTCTTCTGTGAAATGGGGCTAATAACCCACAGACTTTCATAACAGGGGATGGCTGGGCAGAAAAAAAGAGCTTGTCAAACATTGAACCGGCTTTCATCATGAGCAGTGCTCCTGTGGGAAGAACAGATTCTGGGTTTGGGCCAGAGGTTCTGAGTTCAGAGTCTGAGCCACTCACCTAGGCCCCTCCGTGCTCACTGTGTCGCAGGATGCTCATGTAACCCAAACAGGGCCCTCCATGTTCACAGGTCCTTTAGTTCCCAATATCCAGTAGCCTGTGTCTCCAGGCTGTAAGTTTTATGCACCTAACCATAGATAGCTCCATGCCCATGTAGCCACCCATCATGCAGAAATAAAAAGGGAGGTTTGGCAAGGCTGGGAAACTTTCCCGGGGTCCTGTGAGTCCTCAGTGGTAGTGTGGCATCACACTGTGCCCTGACCAGCTTCTCCTGAATTGGTTTTGGGCCAGAGCCCCTGATTCTTTCCCAAAGGTAGTAGAAAAGCTAGGGATTTCCTTCCCTAGCCCCTCTTGTGCTCAAGGGGCTCCTCTGCACACTTGCTTCACACATCACATGGCACAGACTTCCCAGCTCCCACAGAGTAGAGCCCCTGCCCCAGCAGAAGGCTTCCTAGTCAGATGCAAGTTACTGTCCAGCTCAGCCACCAGGCGGCCAGCAGGCCAGGCATCAGGAGGTGGGGCGGGGCGACAGCGGCTACTCAGCTTGCTTGGAGCCTCTCTCAGCAGGAGCCAGGTCCCCAACTGTCCCCTGGGGTCAGATCCATCACTTGATGACTGCACTCCATCAGGCGGGCACAGCCGGAGGGTCAAGTGGCCCGTCGCTGCCGCCGGGCGCTGGGAGCCCATCATGGCCATATTTAATTTAATTAAGGCTGTCAGCACTATTGATTTCAGCAGTTTCAATTACTAGGCTGTTATGGTTTCTGGATCAACTGATCTGTGATGGGTCCTATCAGCAAAGACACACATTGAGGAGAGGACCCTCCATCTCCTTTAAGCCTGACACACGCCGCCATGGCTGGTGAGTTATTGCTTCCATCCAGCCCGGCTCCCCTTCCCAGCCTCATAATTAATTTCTCATTAGACAGCTCTTTATTGTTTAATTTGTGCGGTTTATAATCAAATTGGGCACATTAATTGTCGTTGGATTTAAGGCGAATGGAAAAGAAAGGGCTTCAATAACTTACTCTTCCATGACTCCCGACAAGATAAAATAAAGCCCGAGGAGAAGTGTCAGCTTTTTACATTATAAATTAGGTTTTTTAAAGAGCACGGGCATTTAAGACGCAGTTATCACACATTTAGTAATTATAAATCCAACACTGCAAAACAATTATTGAGATTTAATTACTCTGCTTGGCTCTTGGGCAGCGGGGTTGGGTGACGGTGAAATTCTTCCTTGTGGATGGGGGCTTCTCTTAGTTTGGGGTAACCATGCCAGGGGAGAAGCTAAGTTCTCATATGTAGTGTAAGTATTCCTACGTTTTTCTCAGAGGGTGAGTCAAATGGAACAGGCACTTTACCCTATAGAGAACTGTGTGCCTAACCTGGGCTGTGACCTAAGAAACACAGCTGTCCAGGTCACACAAACCCAGGATGGACATACAGACAAGTGGGGAGTGTGAATGTGGCCAAAAGTCAGGTCCATCTAGGACTGGCAGACTTACCTATGGGGTAGCCATTCATTTGTGTGTAGTTGAATTCATCTGTGTTGGTGGCCAGATCAACCTGGGATGAATAACCCCACCTGTGGGTGGATGGGGTCCATCTGTGGAGCAGCTGTGGGGGGGGTGATTGGATCTACCTGCTGGGTGGTCAGATCCACCTATATAGTGGCCATTCAGGGTTTTCTAAAGGAGGGGACTCTTGAGAGTGGAAGGTCTTTTTACCCAGCAGTGTATGAGGAGTGCAGTGCAGGCGGGATCCCTGGTGAGCAAAGGCCTGGATGAGGTCCACAATGGCCATTCTTTTAAAGGCCAAAAACTAGTAGTAGGGGTAGGCAATGCAGACCCTGGTGGCCATCACAGCAGGACTGAGGCTGGGTCCTGGGAGCTGCAATGGGATGCTGAAGACTCATACTGAATGCCCACCTCAGTGTCTTCCAGTCTGCTCAGCCTATCACAGTATTACCTGGGTGGAATCTACCTGTTTTGGGAGCTGTGGGCCTTGCCTTGTAGAAAGCCAAAATGAAAACCCAGGCCTCCTTTACAGTCTACAGTCCTGTATCTGCTGCTCCACAAGCATCTACTATGTGCAGGAAGTATAGGAAATATAGGTGAGTTGGCACGGACCAGCTCTGAATGACATGTGGGTGTTTGGCCTGTCCACAGGAATCCAAGAGGGCACACATCCAAGGACAAGAGACATGAGAAGTATGAGCTACACACAGCTGGAAAGAACTTACTAAGCACAGCACCAAATAACCTACTAAACACAACACCGAAGAGCCTACTAAATACAGCATTAAGAACCCACTGAACAGCCGGGCGTTGGTGGCGCATGCCTTTAATCCCAGCACTCGGGAGGCAGAGGCAGGCGGATCTCTGTGAGTCCGAGCCCAGCCTGGTCTACAAGAGCTAGTTCCAGGACAGCCTCCAAAGCCACAGAGAAACCCTGTCTCGGAAAAAAAAAAAAAAAAAAAAACCCCCACAAAAAAAAAAAAAAAAAAAAACCCCCACAAAAAAAAAAAAAAAAAAAAACCCCCACAAAAAAAAAAAAAAAAAAAAAAAAAAAGAACCCACTGAACATAGCATCAGAAAATCTACTTGGTTCCAGCAGTGGGCAGGGTGGGATGGACACCCAACCTGTTTGCCTTTGCTAACAGGTTTATGATGAGATGAGACTCATGTGTCTATGGTCCAGCCCACCTTTTTAAAACAAAGATGCACTTATTTTTGTTCTATGTATAGGAGTGTTTTGCTTCTGTTTGTATGTAGGCAACACCTGTATGCAGAGGCCAGAAGAGGGCATGCGATCCTCTGGAATTGGTGTTGCTGGCAGTTGTGAGCCATTATATAGGTGCTGGAAATCAAATCCTGGTCCTTGGGAAGAGTAACCATCACTCTTAATCACAGCACCATCTCTTTGCCCCAACCAACCCCATCTTGCCAGGCCTACCTGAGTATCATCCACTTTCTGGCCTCTGCATTCTCACAGCAGCCTAGAGCTGGAGACTTGCTTTCTCTTACAGTTGGACGTGGAGGAATTCCCAAGGCTTACCTGGGAGAACAGAAGTGATATAACTCTTTCCTACTACACTATCCGTCTTCTAGCCTCAGGCCCAGAAAGGGGTCCTAGGAGAATTTCCCAGCAAACTTTTCACAAACTCTTCTCTGAAGACATAGTTTGCTCCAAGAAAAGTTTTGCAAGCACCCAGTTCCCAGGTGCACCCCAGTTCCCAGGCACAGACACCCCCAGAAGCTGAGGCATCAGCTCTGCCCTCTCTGCCTTCTGGAAGCTAAAGTCTAGAACCTGCCTATTCTTTGCACTGGGCTAAACCTCTTGGATCTGGCACTCTATTAACAAAGTTTTCAAGCACACAAAATTCATTTATTGCTTGTGATTCTTTTGTTTGGCTTTTGTTGTTAAAGACTCATAAGATATTTTATTTGTCTAAAATGTCCAAAGTCCTTTTTAAACTAATTTTTCTGTGCTGTGATTGTTTAAGCCAACACTTCATCATGCACCCCAGTCTCTGTGTGCATCCCATCCCACTTCTCCCCTACCAGCAGTGTCTGCAGACTAATGGATTCCCCTGTCTCCATGGATTGTCTCAAGTGTGTGCAGTAAAATAAGGGCTGTCTCCCATGGTACAGTGGCATTCACCTCCTTCATGCTCATACTTTTTCATCCTGAATTCTTTACTTTCTACCCTGTGTGTTCACCTGACTTTCTACAGCAGTGGTTCTCAACCTTCCTAGTGCTATGACCCTTTGATACAGTTCCTCATGTTGTGGTGACCCCCACCATACAATTATTTTGTTGCTAATTAAAACTGCAATTTTGCTACTGTTATGAGTCTAATGTAAATATCTAATATGTAGGATATCTGATATGTGACCTCCCAAAGGGGTCACGACCCATAGGTTGTGAACCACTCACTGTCCTAGCACCTCCACTTTTCCTATTAAAAGCTACAATCAAGAAAACATTATGGGCAAGGGACCATATTGAAGTGAGTGGCCCACGCAGCTGCTTGGGGCTGGACTGATGTTGCTGCTCCATGCTGCTGCTGAGGACCATATATGGGTCAGTGGACCTGATGCAGGAGAGGGGGTGTTGATGTTGATGTTGGTGGCTCCATGATACCATCTAAGGCCATGTGGATGTCTATGGTCTGTGCTGCAGCCTGAAGCCATGTTGCTGCCAAGGGCCATGTCTGGGGCCAAGGTCCTACTGCAGTTGGGGGTCTATGTTGATGTTGGTGGCCCAAGTTGCCACCAAAAAAGAGTAAGGAAGCTACCTTTGCAATGATATTGGTGACTACAAGTGCACAGTTGACAAAGAGGGATGTGAAAGGTTTCTGTGACAACCCCTACCCCTGCAACCCACCCCCAAAGGGTAAAAAAAACAAAACAAAACAAGGAGCCATGGAATAGAACACTGCAAAAGTTTGATAAGGATGCTGAAGTGTAGCTCTCCAAAACTGATGGCTTCTGGTGAGGGTTCAGGAAGGGAAGGACTCAGTTCTATTTAAGGGGAGGATTACTGAGAATTTGCCCAAGTTCCAGTCTGTATGGATAACACAAATTGGACTTTGGTTTTTTTGGGGGGGAGGGAGTGAGGTTACAAGGGTGGAGATGGACATGGAAGGACTGGTAAGTGGATGTGATTGGATGCATGATGTGACATTTCCAAAGATTCAATAAAAAATATTAAGTTTAAAAAACCAACTGTGTAGCAGGCATCTCAACCCAGCTTGACAGAGTGGCTTCATGAGAAACTTATGAGGGACTAGGGGTGTGGTTTAGTGGGTAGAGTGCTCACATAGATTGTGATAATCTCAGGGTTTGAGCCCCCGTACCACATAAACCTAGTACGATGGTGTATGCCGGTAATCCCATCACTTTGCAGAGGTGGATAAAGAAAGATGAGAAAGTTCAAGGTCATCTTCAGCTATGTATGGTGTTTGAGGGTGGCCCTGGCTAGAAACTCTGTTAAGGAAGGAGGGAAGAAAAGAAGGAGAGAGAGACAGATGAAAATTTGTGGAATAGGCCTCATCCTGAATAAGTGTTTGGGGATAGTGTAAACGCCTATGAAATGCCTTTATTTGGAAGACCATCACTAGTAACATCTTGAAGTTCTTGTTTTCTGCTACTGGCCTACTTGCTTGGACTTGAGTCTATATTTGGCTGATTTTCAAAGCCTTTTTCTCCAACACCCTCACCAGATCCCAGTCTGGGTCACCCCAGTGCTTTTCCCTAGCTTCCCAAGTTCAGGAAAAATCAGACCTTGAGTTGTAATGTCAAGTATAAGAACCCTCTGCTACACACAGACTCCTGGGACGATGTCTGGCTTCTAGATAATTTGACTTTAGTCAGGAACTTCTGCATCCCCAGGCAAGTTACTAAGGGTCTAGGGTCCTAGGTCCAGTGACTTAGAGAATATAAAATGAAATGATAGTTAGGCAATGACTAAGATCCTTCTAGTTCTTAAAATACTCTTATAAATGTGTCAGTCCATCTGTTATCTCTCTTAGAATACCTAGCATAGAAACGTCCCTCTTGGCACACTCCTCACCTTATATGGACTCCATGAGAACAAGGAGGGTACATCTTAAGGTAGGATGCCAAGAAATGGGCCTGATAACACAGACAACGATTGCCTCTGAGAAAGGCAATCCCTTTCCTGATTTCAGACCGCATGGAGTCCACATGGCTCCCACATGGTTTCCCAACCACTCTAAACAGAATGCATCCAACATGACGTCTTTATGGTATGCCTACTATGCGCCAGGAGCAGGTAAACAGAAAACTCTGGTCCCACTCGCAGGGGATGATAGGTAGGGAGCAGACAGCACACAGGCATAGGAAGATGCTGCTTTTTGACAGTGATAACAGCTGGCAGGGGGTAACTCGGTGAGAGCAGGGGTGGGGGGACAGAATAGAAGAGGCCAGGATGGGAATGTCACTGGGAAAATGGGGGCAATAGCACTACTATCATCAACTGACCAGAGGGTTGAACCCGGAGCATGTGAAGCACTTGGGACAACACCTGCACCAAGAAAGTGTCTACCATCACTGCTGAGTGAGACTGCCCAGTAGGAGGGACATCAGAGAGACCCTGAAACACAAAAGGAAGCACAAAGACCTGAGTGGAGGAGGACACTGTGGTCCATGTGGGAGACCATAGAGGCTTGGGTGGTGAAGAAACAGTGAGGATGGTGCCAGAGCCCCGATGGAAGAGCTGGCAGGATGTGTTGGGGTGACAAAGTGAGGGAAAGCCAAGGGTGCTTATGAGTGTTCTGCCTGAACAGATAGATGATAGCTGCTGAGAAGAGGTGGGGGCACTCAGAGGAGGGATCAGGTTGGAGGGAGTTTGAGGCCAGATAGTTAGAAGATCTCTATCAGATAGGTCCATGCTGTGGGACCTCTTGAGGCTGCTGAACCAGGAATTCAAGAGTATGGGCTAGAGGCACGGATCAGGAAAAGAAGGGAAGGAAAATGGGAAGGGGAAGAAAGAGCAGTGAAGGGAAGAGAGTGAAAAGAAAGAGAAAGGAAGGGCTCCAGGAAACGGAAAGGGAGGGGAGGGGAGAGAAGGGGAGGGAAGGGAAGGGAGAGAGTCTGGTGTCTGGGTAGACATCCAAGTCTCTCCAACATGTACAGATCTGGCTAAAGGGACAACTAAGTTCAAAAGAAGGCTGAGAACACTATTCAAAAAGGACTAGGGATCAAGAAGCCTCTTGCTGGGATAGGTATTTACCTTTTTATGTTTTAGGATTATGTGGAGGCTCCAGGATTTCTGGACAAGGGTGCCTAAAAGTAGAGGGTCCATGGAGATGGGGGTATGAAGTGATTTCCCAACTAGCATGAAAGTTTTCAGATGAACAGACTCACGGTCCCGAGGTCCACTGAACGATGCCCCAATTTTAAGTCCCCTTGGCAGGGGTAACCCAGACTCCCCCAGGTCTCTGCATCTCTGTCCCAGCTGGGAACTGGTATGGTTGCCAACTGGTTGCTGCTTCAAGCTCCTGAGTTTTCATTAAGACCCTGGCATCTCCCCAGAGTTTGAAGGAGTCCCGATTAATTACAGGCAAATGTTGGCTCTCCCCCCGGAAATCTGCAGCCCTAGCCTGGCTCCGTCCCCTCTGATTTTATTAAAACCCACCTTGCCAGCCAGGACCTTGGGATTTACAGCCACAGCTAATAGGCTGCCTCCCCAGGAGACATAAATCTGAGCAGTCTGCCCAGGGAGCCGCTTGCTGCTAAGAGGCCGGTTAATTGTTCCGCGTCGAGGGGTCCACAGAGGAATGTTCAATTAGGCCTCG